TTTGCAGTATGTAGGTGATAACCTTGCAGTGATCAGTTCTTTTGTTTCCCTCTTACTTTGGGAAAAAAATCGCGATTAGTTGATTCATGATTCGTGTGTGTGTGTGTGTGTGTGTGTGTGTGTGCATTCATACATGCATATATATACATATATATATATATGTTTATATACATACACATATATACATATGTGTATGTCTGTGTGTATGTTTGTATGTGCCTGCGTGTGTGCGCACGTGTGCGTGTATGCTTGCGCGCGTGACGGGTGGTCATACGAAGTCGCGCCATTATCCGAAAGAAAAGGAGAAGACGAGATCCTTTCCAATCCACCCCCCCCCCCCCCGACCCTTACGAGCTTCCCGTTGTCAAAACAGATGCCAATTAGTGTTTCGTCACGCACGTGCAGCTATTTGCAGTCTGCGTGGCAATGACACTTGCTTTACGACTCCTCGTGGCGTACATGGCACTTAAGGGACGCCACGTTCAAGCAACCTCTTCGGGAATGGCGGCCGATACATGCCGACGCCTGCCGTTTCGACATCGTCAGCTGATTCTTGTTATTTTCTAATCTTTTATTTTCCTTTTTTTCCCTGTCTATTGATATCTGTAGCTATTTTCATTTTTTCTTTGTCTGCCTATCTTTCTTTTCCTCTTTCTGTGTCTGAATGTTTCTGTCTGCCCCCGTCTCTCTTACACTTTCTCTACCCCTCCCCCTCTCTCTCGTTCTGTTTCTCTCCCTCTCTCTCGATATTTTTCTCTCCTTTCCTCCCTCTTTCTCTCTCTCTCTCTCTCCTTCTCTCTCGATTTTTTTCTCCTGCTCTCTCTCCTTCTCTCTCGATTTTTTTCTCCTGCTCTCTCTCCTTCTCTCTCTCTCTCTCTCTCTCTCTCTCTCTCTCTCTCTCTCTCTCTCTCTCTCTCTCTCTCTCTCTCTCTCCCTCTCTCTCTCTCTCTCTCCCTCATTTAGTCCGGTTAATAATTGTTTCTATAAATGTCATTCCCAATTTTGTTTCCGTTGCTTTCACAACTATAAGCGGCACTAACAATATAATAATAAATTCGTTCCTCCATCCCTTTCTCCTTTCTTTACATCGCTTATTCCTGTTAAGCAAGGCAACTTTAACCATTCATTAAAGATGATATGGGTTAATGAAATCATTAGGACTAATTACTCGTCCTTCATAATAGGCCAATTAAATCATTAGCATTAAGTACGTGAATTCGTCCTTCATAATTTCCTGTATCCTGCTAAGCCTCATTTCTGCAATATTGGCCTTCGATCTTGCAAATAAATTCCTTTCTTACTTTCCTTTGAATAGTGAATGTTGTCTTAAAATCCTTATTAGTGTTCGTGTGTACACAGAGACAAACTGCAGATATTCTAGGCAAAAGATTCCTGTTCATGGCATTAGTAAAATATACTTCCCAATACATGAATGGAAATTACTGTCGTCCAATGGCAGCTTACCGAATGCATTGGGAGTCTGGATCATTTAAGATGCTGCTGACATCTCTACTGAGCGAACTACCGTGTTACTAACGATATCACAGTACCTCTTTAGTTAGCGCAGAAATGTCTAAAATACTTGGAAAGTGATTGAAATGCTAAAAACCTCCTCTGACAAAACCACCATGCCATCCATACCCCGTTGCCTTAGGTGTCTAACCTGTGGCACAATACAAGGCACTACATCTTTACATGTTCACTTCCCCCCTCTCGAAACAGCATGGATCCGCTACTAAAGCTATGGATATATATAGTAAAAAGCATAAGAAGTAGGGTAATTTTCAGTGATGAATTTAATGCATGTAAAGACTACCGCGATAGTCTAGTGGTTAAAGCACTGTACCCCGACTCTTGTGGTCCCGAGTTCAATTCCCTGTCGCGGCAGTCGTAAAAATGCCTGCGCTCCAACTATTGGTTCGCGCCTGATCTCACGGCGAGAAAACGACATATCGCCTTAAGAGGTCAGTCGCAGTTGTCGTAGGGGACAATGGTTGCAGAAATGCGCGCAGAGGATCCACTGGGAAGAGAGATGGTGAATTCTTCAATCACCCGAAGGAAGGCAACGGGAAACCACCTTCGTACACTCCCTTGTACAACCATGAAATTAAACATGGTCGCCAACATCAGGCTCTGATACGGCACATAAAAAAGATATCTGAGAAAAAAGAATTGTTTTTGCAAGTGAAGAAATATATTTGCGGATCTGTGTCCTCCTTTCATTTCCCTTTCACACCTCCATTTATATTCATGTCATTCTCATTTTCTATTGTGATTTCCGTTTGCAAATATCACTCATTGACTTCTTATACACAAAAAATCATTTTCCGTTATTTCCGGTCCGCAAAAGTGTAATTTATCTACGTGTATTGATTCTATTTGTGTAATATTATTCTAATCAGCATAATTCATGTTGTGAAATAATTAATTTCAAGCATAAGACTAATATCTAAAACAACACTAAACATGTATCCTACTAGCACATTCTTATTTCTTAAATATAAGGTCTACTTATCACTAACCACGTGGTCGTTTTTACGCAAATATCTAAATCATCCTCAATGAATAAAAAACAAATATCACTCAATATGTTGGGTATGTGGGTATGAAACAGAACAAAAACTGTTCCTGAATTTAAGGCAAAAATCAGTTCAGAATAAACTGGCTTCTTAACTGAAAGAACTGCACATTATGAAATAAATAGTCATGCAACTGGTCTACAAACCATAGTCATAATGGGCTTGCAAATGGACTACAGGGGGCTTCAAAAAGTTCGTGTAAAAAAGTCCATAACTAAAAATCATATAGAATGATTTTGATTTCAATGCACCTGAATATTCTTGTACCAATGTGTTATAATGTGTTCAAACATGAACCTTTAAATGCAGGTAATAAGGCATCGCCGCCAGTTGGAAGTCAGGCGTCATTCAAGCAACATGAAATCCACCAAAATCGAGGCCAGGACAAACATTAAATTCATGGTGAAACTCGGTTGGGAAGATAGGTAAATCATTGACGTTCTGGAACAAGTATTTGGTGACAATACCCCGTAAAAATCAACGACCTACAAATGGATAAGTCGGTTCAGAAGTGGAAGAAACGAAATGGAAGATGTGCCCCGCAACCTTGCAGACCATCAATTTCAGTTTGTGAGGAAAATATTGATGCTGTTCGCGATATGGTTGAAAAGGATTGACAAATAATCACTGAATCAGTAGCAGACACACTCATCATCTCTGCGGATTCTGCACACACAATTCTGGTGGAGAATTTGAGGCTAACCATGTTTTCCACTCGATGTGTCCCTAGGCTGTTGCGCCCAGATCAGCAGCAATCAAGGGTAGATTTTTCAATGGTAATTTTGAACAAGTGGAATGAGGACTCTGAAGCTTTTCTGCATAGAATTGTGACAGAGGATGAAACATGGCTCTACCAGTACAATCCCGAGGACAAAATTTAATCAAAACAGTGGCTGCCCAGGTGGAAGTGGACCAATCAAAGCAAAATCTGAGGTTCAAGAGGAAAGGTCATGGCTACTGTCTTCTGAAGGGGATTTTGTTGGTTGACTTCCTCGAGAGTAAGAAAAAACAATTGCATCTGCTTATTATGAATGCGTTTTGAGAAAACTGTCAAAAAAAAATCTCAGACACACGTTCTGAAAAGCATTAGAACCACGACAGTGCGCCCGCTCATGGAGCTCAGCAGACAAGAGCCCTGATTTAACCCCATCCGACATCTTTTTGTTTCCACACTTAAAAATAATTGAAAAGACCAATTTTCCATTTAATAGACAAAACACATAAAAATATAATACAGAGCAGAAGCACATACACAACTGTGTGTATGTATATATATATATATATATATATATATATATATATATATATATATATATAGACACATAAATATATAGATAGATAGACAGATCGTAAAAACTTACTATTAAACACTGACAGGATTATCTTGTGGCACATAGCACAAGTGACAAGTGGCCTGTGGCAAATTTACATGTGGCACAGTGATTTCAGACAAAGGTTACACGTGGCGTGTGTCACTCAGTTCACAAGATGGAGGTTTATGATGTTATTGTTATCCTAACTGCTAATTAACTTGTGACAATTATCTGTCACTTGGAGGAATGAAGTGGTTGACTTTGGGGCAGAATTTGAGACAAACTTGTTCCAATACCCTGAAAATACTTGGAAGGGAAAATATTTTGATAATTCTACCACTGAGTGTTTTCATGGCAACTCCTAACTTTGGGTGTAACACCTTCATTAAAATCAGACACTACCCGAGATGACAAGTCTCATGCTGAAAAAGACAACCTTGGAGTGGCACGCAGACCGCACGTGGCAAATGCGATGTACCTCCTCACTTGTGTGTGGAAAGTTTCTTGTGTTTCCTTTTGTTCGTTTTCAAGTGGCGTGATAGGTGGCATGCCACATGCGACGTGTCACACTTAGAAACCTCTTGAGGAATGACGGTCGATACATACATTCCGATGACATTTCGACATCGTCTGCTGTTTTTTTTTTTTTTTTTTATACCGATTTACCTATAAATATGGCCATTTTGATACTTTTATGTTTGCCTATCTTTCTTTTCTTCTTTTGTTTGTCTGAATGTCTGTTTATCTATCTTTATTTATGTCTGTCTGTCAATGCCTGTATCTATGTTTCTATTCTTTCTTTTTTTTTACTTTTTTTCAGTTTTAAACTAAACACCTATAAATAGCTAAATAGATACACGAAAACATCTGTAAAACATATATTTTTGTACTTACCCAGTTCAATAAATACATTCTAAATGAAATGATGCTGTAGCTTAACTTTACTTAGAGTAAGGTTAAGGAGAGATTTTTTTAAAATGTCAATTTTTGTCTGTTTTTCTTATAATAAGCACCTTTTCTGAGCTTACAATTATAAAATCCAAACATATCAAAAGAAAAGTATTACGATTATATTTCAAAATGGGATGAGACAGAAGAAAATCAAGTCCATATCACTGTACATTTATTGATGCAATGGCTACAGAATTCTCCAAGCTACTTAATATATTAATATATATTCATACAGGCATGTGATTATTTACTTCTTTAGCCCTGAAACAACAATTTCAGCCTAATTTCAATCCATGGTTAATATGCTTTCAGCATACAAAGAATATATTTCACTGACTGACTAAATACTAAATGACAGTCCAATTAGCAATTCAACCCAACCAGCAAATTATATAGAAATTCAAGTAAACTGTTACAAAAAAAATGAACACTGAATCTAAGTTGAAAATTCTTATTTATAGGGATCAGTAAAGAAGTGATAGTTTAGCCTATTAATTATTGCAATAAAAAAAAATAACATGAGATGTGAAAATATTTTTTTTAATAAAAAAAATACAATATGGATTTACAGAAAAGATATATTTGGAAAAAATCAAAACAATATATAAAATAATCTGGGAAATCAAAGTATCTGATTTCTTCTGCAAGAACCTTCAGAAAACAAGTAACCTATTTACTCACAAATTATGAGTTTAGATTATAAAAAAAATAATAAGCTTACTGAAACATGTCTTTTGGAGTCACAGCAAACAAAAAAAAAATATATATAAAGTACACACACAAATATATTAAATCAGAAATTCAACACTTTAGAGTAAAGATTTGTGCAATTTTAAACCGATTTCCTTTATAACCACAAATTATCCAATAATAAGATATTTCACTTACTTTTACCTTTTTCCTTGCTCCTTTAACATAGCAAATGTCAATAACTGCCTATAATTTCAAAACAATTGATCTTCAATAGTGAGTCTTATATCATAAACAAACTATCAGTTTAGACCATAATTTTTCATATATATATGGGTTATGTAAACTTTCCCTGATTCTGGTGTAATTTTTGCATAAAAATTTGCATCTAACTCAATGAGCATAAAAATACAATAACCAACTGGTACAGATAACTAAAATCTAAACAGAAGGAAATAACCACCATTTTTTTTATTCAACAACAGCTTTCAGCATAAGGTATTTCACCAAAAGAATCATATTTTTTATCTTCAGGAAAATAAAAAAAAAGTATTGCATAGATTAAACCTTTGGTCATTAAACCTAATACATAAAATTTGTACTTCAATATCCTTTAGTTACTTTTAACAAGTAAATGTTTCAACAGAACTTTTATATTGCCTAATCCCTGTCCTTATTCACAAGTAAGTTATCCACAGTTATAGATTCTGCACTAAAGAACCATGTATGTGCGTAATGCGTCATGTGCCAAAACACAAATGCCCTTCCAGGAACGTGATCAGACAAAAGGGTTGGGGCTCGTGGTCTGAAAGGGACAGGAGAAGAAATATATCAAATTCCACCTACTCAAGACAAATCATATTTGTCACAAGAAAAGAGCAATGGAGTCAAAGTTCATTTATGGCAAAGATTACCGTAAGATGTCAAAATCTCTATATATATCAATATTTTTTTTTTCTTTTTTTTTTTCCTCCACAATTGTCACAGTACAGAATGGCACACATATGTGAGTGATAAATATTATGACTGAGAAAAGATTCTTTCACTGATATGGCATCTTTAACAAATGTAATGTCTTATCAACATAATAATTACCAACTATGAACTGAAAAAATACACACATTATTTCATGTAATGCCTAGGTTTCCAAAACCATTAAAAAAACAATGTATAAAGAAATCATATATAAAACTGAGAAAAATATTTAAATAAATGTGTATATTTACATTTGTCTGACAAACAAAGTGTCTATCACCATGAACTTTAACTAAATTGTTGAAAAGTTTCCTTAATTAACAAGGAATAAAAAGAGATGATATAAC